CCAGACCCGGACCCGACCGGGTCCGGGTCTATACCTGAGAAGAAAGTCAGACCCGGTCTGCATTAAGTTACGAATGGAAATGTATAACAACAACAATTGAAGTCAACAAAATTGAAAAGAAACAGTCAGAAATGATTTTACACTCATTTTATCTTTAAAGTGGCCAATGAAGAGTTAAAATAGTGTTCCCTTTTCTGTTCATGTACACAGAGGGTGCCAAATATTGGTGAAAAAAGGATCGGGTCTAGACCCAGCCGAGTCCGGGTCTGGACCGAGCCGGGTCCGGGTCTGGACCCGACCGGGTCCGGGTCTAAACTCCACCGGGTCCGGGTCGGGTTCGGGTCTGAAAATTTCGCTTTTCCCGGGCCCGGGTCCGGGTCCAAAAAAACATGGACCCGCAGCTCTCTAGTAGGCAGGAAGAAAAAAACTTTGATAGTTAAACTTTAAGTATCAAAATTATTTTTCTTCCCACTTACAGATCATTTCCGACTGTATACTACCTTGCCGGATGTTCCAAATCGGAAAAAAGCTTTGCAGTTTTTCCAAAAAGTGGTACACTTCCCATGAATTCATTTGTTAATCAAAGTTGAAGAATTAGATAAAGTGTTGTTTTACAAAGAGTGGACAATATTTCTCAAACTTGGGAGCACAATTGATGATTCATACCGTTAGCACACTTGTTGATTGATACATGAATCAAAAAAGATATCAAATTTTCATCAAAATATTTTCTTCCTTTTGAGTCGAAGAGGAAAGAAAAAATATCTACGGGTAAATGCGTCCAAAAAATCAACGATGTCTTACTAGCGGCGTGTATGTTTTTTTCCTAATTTGATGATGACACATACAGAGACCCACGCTTTTGAGCTTTTTTTTTCTCAATCGAGCACGTCCCACTTTGTATTACGAAAGCAAGTGATTGCGAATATGACTCATTGATTTTCGTACATATTTTTTTCCACAAGTGTACATCAAAATCATTTGTATATTTTATCAAAGGAGATTCTCCATCAAACCATCGAGTATCAATAATCACAATGGGTAAAACTAATGATTGCCTGATTTTAGTCGTTGTATTTATCCTACTAATCATTATTTGCTGAGCGTCGCAAAGGAATCAAGATGAAAGCGACAATCCACGTATCGAGGAACACTGACACTCTCAGCACCAATGCCACGATATGATGATCAGGAACTACTTCACTGTATTAAACATGAACTTTTGAATAATAGATTTTTCTTTCGATCTTCTATCATATTAGTCGAGATTATTGAAAACTGTATTCAAGTTTTATACCTCTGTTTATTTCAAAATATTCACTAACTATATACAAGAAAAAGACATATCCTAAACAAGAAAATATCTACCACCATAAATACAAATTCCGCTTAATATATTTAATAGAATAATGATCAAGTAAATTTTCTGATTGAATTAAATCTTTTAATTCTTGTAAACATATTTTAGGTGTTGGAGAAATACACAAAAAGAATAAATGATGCGTTTTATTATTCGTTTTTGAAAATAAAAATTCTATAATTTTTTGAATTTCTTTTCTTTCTATTCCGGTTTTAAGATATTCAACTTGTGAAAATAAATTCATAATCAATCGAAAATGTTTTAATGTACACCAATGACGAAGATCTAAATTTCGAATATGATTTCTATTTGATACATATTGAAAAATTTCATTTTGTTGAAATACTTTTAAATTTGTTTTATAAAGAGGAAGTAAATCTAATTTTAATGTATGTAAATTAGGTGTAAAATATAATAATTTAACAATTTCTTCAAAAGGAAAATCATAAGATTCAATAACTAATTTAGTCAATTGTTTTAAAGGAATCATTCGATTCAAAGTTATTGAAATTGAATGATCTGATGTTTGAAAAAAATGTTTAATTGTTAATTTGGTTACATTTGGAAAATAATTGACACAATTATTTCTAGCTTGTTTACTACAAATATGAACATGTTTAACTGAATTTAAATTATTTTCTTGAATATGTGGACACAATTGTTGATCTAATTCCCAATAAAATGTATAATCTTTTCTTCTAAACGAGAAAAACAAACATCATTTATAGAAATAATATTCAATATTGTTCTACCGATATGGATTTGTTGAATAAAATATTCCACTATCTAATGTCTGTTGCCAATCATGTTGATGAGCAAAAAACCACTGTCGTTCAATCCAAAATAATGAATTAAATTCTTCCATTAAATTATGATACAATATATGATTATCTTCTATAGAATCCTCATGATGTATATCGAAAATACGTAAATTTGGCATATGAGTTTGAATTAATTCTTGCCATCGTTTAGCATTTAAATATGCGTGATAAAATTGTGTTGTAAGACGTAAAACTTCGACATGACGAAAAAAATGTTTAATTAATTTTTTTAATAGATTGAAATGTATATAATCAAGTTTCATTGAAACATGTTTTAAATGTTTTAATACAATAGGATAATTATGAATATCACTATGACGAGATCCCACAAGACAATTAATTGATAAATAACGAAGATTTGAAAGACAAAAAAAGAAATCACTTAAGGAATCAAATGGAAAACGACTGTTTATTACAAGATATTCAATCGAACTATGTTTTAAATCAGCTAAAAAAATCGGCAATAGTTCTTCATCATCTTTTGTTCGATATGTAAATTTGCAAGACTTTAATTTCGGTAAACGAAATATATAAATGAAAAGAGTACTTAGATCTTGGACATAATCAATAGGTGTAAGAACTAATGAATAGAGTTTTGGTAAAAGAATGGAATGTTTAAGAATGTTATGAAGATATTTTGCATCAATATTATCAAGAATTAATGTTTCTAATTGAATAAATTGTAAAATTAGACGTGGTGGTGAGAAAATAATATCAACAGTAAATGGATTTGATAAATGAAGAAGATTTATTCGATGTTTATTTGGTTTAATCATATTTTGATGATAAAGTTCAAAATTTGTTTTTGACATTGTTGGAATATTGATTTGAATAGGAAGATTGGTATTGATAAGTAAATTTTGAAATCGTATGTTAAGATAAAAGAATCCTTGATAAACATGATAAACATCGAGATATTCAAATATTTCATATATAATTTCATTTGCTAAATCTTCAAAATGAGATCTAGATGAAATATAAAAGATAAGAATTAGATGATCAAATATGACTCACTTGTTTCTATTAGTTGCTTCTACTAAAAAGAAAATAAGATTTATTGAATATAAATATTAATTATTACTTTCATGTGGCAATTTTTGTTTTTTAGTGCTATTATAACCGTCAACATTTTTGTTTTGTTGCCGTTTTTTTCGTCCCATGTTTGAATTAGTAGATGACGATGATACTGATAGAGAACGAGCGAGGAAAAAGGATATATATATACGTGTATAACGTTCTCTCCTCTATGAATAATGAATAGAAAAAATAGAAGTATTCATACTCGGAAGATAATTGGTTAATTATTCATTTCGATGTGATCGTAAAGCGATAGAAGAAACTATTTTAAATTTAATATATGATTATCGCTGAAATACATTCGAAAAATATCTCTCGAACAAGAAATAATCATAATTTATAAATTAACCTTATCTCTATATGCCGGTCCTATGGAAGTGTAGGTATATCAAACTCCTTTTTCCTTCCAACATGGATTCTACTCATAGTGTATTATCCATTTATTTCTGCCTCAAAGAACTTCGGAAACAAAACATCTTCCTTAACGGTCTTATCAGATCGCAGATATTATTCTAGTTTATCCTATATATAGTTGATGGTTAACATTAAAATAGAACATTCAACATATATATAGGGTGTGGGTGTGGGTGAAATGAAGACTGACAACCACGCCCATACGCACACCCTCAATAACTCCATTTATTAGAAATAAATCAAATAAAAAACTTTCTAGATAAATAATTATATCAAATATTTATTAATTAAAATTCTATTATTCAAATTTAGATTAATGATCGATTATATCACAATATTCCTTTTCATTTCGATTTTATTGTTTACATCATTTTTTTGGATTCTTTGATATTCATAAAAAAAAGGATTTTGTTATCAATTATTGTTCTATTACATTCAAAAGAAATTTATTAGATTTTCATTTTTGAAAAAAAAATCAAACAAAAAATAAATCATTTGAAAATCTAATTTAATAAGGATATTCTATTAGTCAGAAATATCAAATATTTCTTACTTATGTTATTTTCAAATACAAGAGAAAAACATTCTACAATTAATATCAATGTTTATGAAATCGCTATTTTAATATTTATTTCGATAGATTTTTCAATTATAATAAATCACCTAAATAATTTCTTAAATATTTTTGTTAAATTTACATTTCTCAACAAACTTAGAATTGATCTTCTTATTTTTTTTTCTACAAGTCTTTTAGAGACAATCAGAATATCATCTATCCAACAAGTAAAAATCTTGGTATTGTTTTCTTCTTGAAATTTATAACAAAATTAAAAACAATTCTTTTATTATGCTTATGAATTTTTTAGTGTTTCAACCGATTCGTATTTCATGAAATGTTTTTTCATACATCTTTGTTTTTTATTGAATGAGAAAATTTTTTTTTTCTTTTGCTACTATCGCAACGGTATTGTTTTGTGCAGAATTAAATTCCATTTCATCATACAGAACATTAATATTTGAATAGGATGAAAAGAAGAAAAAAAAAGAATTCTTCTATCTTGAATAATAAAAAAACGTATCCAATCCTATACGTTTTACTTCAACTAATTGCGAACAGAAGCAAAATACCATTAAAAGAAAATTTTCATTTCATTCATTTTTCGGAAGAAAAAAGCAAAAGTTAAAGTCAAAACAAGAAAACTACCTCGTTCAATTTTATAGATTTGCATATCGAATAATAAATACATTGCATCGCCTTAAGTTATTGCTTCACATTCTTAACTATCATCATTTTATCAACATTTAACAACATATTAAATAAATATATAATGAATCGTTTTAGTGACATTGATCCTTCACGTAAACGACTTCCTGATAATAACGACGATAAACCATTGACATCAACTATGAGTGAAATGCGTCGGGCTTCAATACCATCAAATAGAGAACCATTGGCATCAACTACGAATGAAATGCGTCGAGCTTCAATAGGATCAAATAAAGAACCATTGGCATCAACTATAAATGAAATGCGTCGAGTTTCAATAGGATCAAATAAAGAACCATTGGCATCATCTATGAATGAAATGCGTCGAGCTTCAACAACATCAAATAAAGAACCATTGGCATCAACTATGAATGAAATGCGTCGGGCTTCAACAACATCAAATCAAGAACCATTGGCATCATCTATGAATGAAATGCGTCGAGCTTCAACAACATCAAATCAAGGAGCTTCGGGTAAGTCATTTATGCTTTTTTTTCTAAATAAAGTAAAGTGTTTAAGTGATTTAATATTGAGATAAGTATGAAATATAATTGCTACGATCATTGTACAGTTTATTATTAATAGTATTTCGATACTGTAAACATATCCTCATCTATTTTTTAAATCCTATTTAGACAATAAAATGATATGTCATTTGAAATTTATTGGTTTTTAATATAAATGATATTAACATTTGAAACTAAAGTATCCTAGGGAAAATCGTTGATTTTTTCGTGCTGGATTCTTGACAAATTCAGTCGGAATTTTGTCAGGAATCATCTTTTTTCCTGAGGAATCGACAGTATCCCGAAAGAAGCGTGTAGTCATGAAATTTCAGGAGATGTGTCCGGCTCTCGTAAATTTGAACTATTGAGAAATTCAGGACTCAAACATCAATAAAAAACTGGCAGACATCAGCCGCACCTGAAAAGAAACCCAAGGAACTCAAAGAACTCTAGGAAAGCTAAAAATTCTATGTCGAACTTTATAAAAAGTCATTACTTCCGAGAAATATCCTGGCCGTGAGGAAAAATTCAAACTCATAAATTTTCCATCATTTAGTAGCGTAAATGGCTGGTAACAGTAACTTCTCCATGCTATTCTCAAGTTATCCCTCCAGTCATCCTCACCCTCACACACTTGTCTCTACTTTCAAAGTTCCACTATCAACCTCGCGAAGTCATGAAAGCAGTAATCACTCGAGCCGCTGTCTTTTGAGCAACGGTAGCTGAAAACTTCTAGACTTTCTTGGCTGCATCAAATTCACTTGAGTTCTCTGGATGCCTTGTGTTCCTAAGATTCCCTGAGTTCCTTCGGTTCCATGAATCTTTTGGGTTCCTAAACTTCCTTGAGTTTTCAGAATTCCTTGGATACATTGGTTTCCCAAATTCTCTTGGTTTTCTTGAGTTATCAGAGTGTCTGAAGTTTGTTGAATTCCTTGAGTTCTAGGCATGCAGCGAAACCGAACTTCAGTTTGGAGTAAGGACAGAACGGTTCAGGTTTGGGTTTGGTCCCAGCGTTCGGGTTCGGGATTGAATATTTTCGAATACCGTTAACTTTTTTTTAGAAAGTCTGCAGCCTTTCAGTTCTTTGGGACATATACTTGGTTAATTGTAGACCTATCACAACCAGCCGTAAAGCCTTTCTTTTGGTTTACTTCTACCCCATCCCATTAATCAACTGAAAATGGATTCATTCCTTATCGAATTCGAGCCGAACTCACCGAATTCCAACGTTCAGATTCTGTGCATGCCTATTAGGTTTTCGGAATTTCTTGATTTCCTAGAGTTTCTTGGATTCCTATGACCCCCTGGCTTCCTACACTTTCTTGAGTGGCTTAAACTTCTAGAGTTTTTTCGGTTCCTAGAATTCCTTGACTCTGAATAAAGAAATTTTAATTCGAAATATTGCTCATACATAATTCTAACGATATTTAGAGTGTCCCAAAATTTTCAGCAACAATGGTTGTTTCCTTCTCGAAATATAAAATGTTGAAGAGAAGTCGATTTTTAGCAATTTTTTGTAAAATGTAGCTGATTTTTGTAGGTATCAAATATCTCAACAAGAAAGCATTCATTCTGAGTGAAATTTTTAGGATAAGTTAAGAATATGAAATCTACTTATGAGCAAAATTTCAGATCGATATCCCTATGTTTCGGTTTTTTTACAAGGCAGGAAAACGAACGACATTGCGTAATTCTGAAAGAAGAGCACAGTAATACTTTTTAGCTATGATACGAGTATACTGAGGGTCGATAATCTCTATTTTTATAATTAACTTCCGCCTGTTGTAAGAAAAAGCCTCTTCGACCCTCAAGATAGTTAACATCCTACTTTGCTAATTTTTCAAGCTTCGTCTGAAAATAAAATTCGAAATCTAGTTAGTTTCATGGTCTGAATCTCAGGTTATATACAAAATAAATCTTGAAAAAATTAAAAAAAAACTTTCCGAAGCTTTTGCCAGAATCTATTATATATGTAATGTTCAGTGTCTGTCTGTATCTCTGTGCCGGGACAAAGGTTAAAGGTCAAATAAGGCTATAAGCGGAAGGCGCCAAGGGCTACTGGGGACTCATAGGTCCTCATGGGCTATTATGCGGAGGTACTCATAGGTCCACAAGAGCTGCAATATGAGGGTACTCATAGGTCCTCAAGGGCTATTATATAGGGTACTCATAGGTCCTCAAGAACTATTATATGGGGTATCCATAGGTCCACAAGGGCTATCATACGAGAGTACTCATAAGTCCTCAAGGGCTATAAGACTATAAGGGAGGTAGAGGATAAGGGAACAAGACTTCAGGACTATGAGGCTATAAGCTGGTAAGGGGATAAGGATATGAGGGTAAAAGGAATAAGAGACTAAGACCACAGGGGCATAAACGATAAAGCTAAAAGAGTATAAGGAGATAAGGATATAGTGGATAAGTTGATGAGGCTGCATGGGATCTACGAGATAGGGAATAACGGAATAAGGCTATAAGAAGTAATACTACAAGAGTATAAGGCTATAGAGTCTATATATATATATGTCAGCGTCCAAACTAAGATTACGTCCGATCTCAGATTGGCCTAGGCGAATGCTGAATCTGAGATTGGACGCATCCAATCTCGGATTGACGTAATTCTATTCACTAAAATATTAATTACTCTTTAGATAGACTTTGGAACCGAACTATTTTTCGAAGTTATGTTCATACGATGCTGTTTTAAGTAACATACGATGCAAAAGTAATGGCACAAAATGTTGATCCATATTTCTCTTCGATAGAAGGGGACTGAAACAAAACTTTTTTTACCAAAAGATAGAGCTTCTTCTGCTCTTCCAGATTCTATATAGTTTATTGTTTCTACCATGTCTATAAATGAAACAACATGACAAAAAAGAAGTATACTTTCGAAAACATTTTGCACTTTTTTTTATAAAAAGGTAGCAGAAAATGTCGACCTTTATATTTCTTCAATAAATACGTTTTGAAAAGAAAATTTTATAACCAATCGATAGGAAATTTTCTCCTCTTTCGAATGGTATGTAATTTGTTTTTTTTTCATTCCTATTTCTCAATGCAATGAAACAAGAAAAATAGGAAAACATTCACAATGAATTTGGAGTTTTTTCATGAACTTGTCAAAAAAATCTTCTAGATGGTAGTTAATTATTCTTAACTCCGATCCACAAGATAGTTTCAAAAAGTTCGTAAACATGTGAGTAACTGCTGTCTTACAAGGGTTTTTTAATGAATACAAAATGAACCAAATTACCGTCGTCTACTATACTGTTTTGACGTGTTCATACAAAAATTGCAGAATTAACGCACGAGTATTTCCCTCTCTTTTTTGTTTCATTGAATTGAGGAATCCGAATGAAATAAAAACAAATTACATACCATTCGAAAGAGGAGAAAATTTTCTATCGATTGGTAATAAAATTTTCTTTTCGAAACGTCTTTGTCGACGAGTTATGCAAAAAAAAACAAGGGAATCAACATTCTGTGTCATTTTGCTAAATTTTACAAAAAGTGGAAAATGTTTTCGAAGGTATACGTCTTTTTTGTTATGTTGTTTCATTTATAGACATGGTAGAAACAATAAACTATATAGAATCTGGAAGAGCAGAAGAAGCTCTATCTTTTGGTAAAAAAGTTTTGTTTCAGTCCCCTTCTATCGAAGAGAAATATGGATCAACATTTTGTGCCATTACTTTTGCATCGTATGTTATTACAAGCATTTAGGAAGAAACTAAATTTAGACTCAAGAATTTAATAAAGGTTTTTGATGAAAGTTGTTTTCTTCTAGAAATTTATTCATAGCTCCTAAAATTTTACTCAAATCTGTCAAACGACAATTGTGCCAAATAAACTGACATAGTCAAAACATCACTCAAAAAAAACCATTCGAATCGAACGTATATCTAAAGAGTAATTAATATTTTAGTGAATATAATTACGTCAATCTTAGATTGGACGCGTCCAATCTCGGATCCGACATTCGCCTAAGCCAATCTCAGATTGGACTTAATCTCAGTTTGGACGCTGACATAGATAATGCGAACTATGTGATTGTCTATTACCGAATCAAGGCTAAAGGATAAACGTGAAACTTTACAGGAAAAAAGCATCCGTGCAGTATGCACAGGCTCTCGCTAGTTTCTTATATTTGTGTATTTAAAAAGTCAAGTCAAGATCAGGATAAAACTCGAGTAGATTCCTGAATTCTCAGTATCTTGTCAAGTTCGAAATAATAAACTAGTAAAATCTTGACAAGCTCTTCTACTTACTACTATTGAAATATTACTGAACAGTAGCATTTAAATGCCGTTAGAACTCAGAGATTTTCAAATCTTGGATGGATTCTTGAATAAGAATCAGCTAAAACCTTAATGAATCTATTTTTGTCTGGATCTTAAACTAGATCATGATAATCAAATTATTTTTAATCAATTTTATTCAACAACGAAATCAATTAAAGTTTTGTTTCAATAATTTTTTTTTCTTTTTTTTATTGGGACAAGGTTCTTCTCTTCCCATTAATATCAAAACTAAATGGAAACAACATGGAACCACCATTGCTGGAGGAAATGGTCAAGGCAAACAATTAAATCATCTCTTTTCTCCTTATGGTATCTATGTTGATGACGATAATCAATGTATTTATATTGCTGACTGTGATAATCATCGTATTGTTGAATGGAAATATAATGCAGAGATTGGTCAAGTTGTTGCAGGTGGAAATGGTTTTGGAAATCGAATGGATCAATTGAATGGACCAACTGATGTGATTGTTGATCAACAGAATGATTCTCTTATCATTTGCGATTTGGGAAACAGACGAGTAGTACGATGGTCTCGTCGAAATGGTACAAAAGGACAAACAATCATTCCTGATATTGATTGTTATAGTCTAACAATGGATAACAATGGAGATCTTTATATCTCTAACTTTGAGCAACATGAAGTGAGACGATGGAAAATAGGAGAAACAAATGGAACAATTGTAGCAGGTGGAAATGGAAAAGGAAATCGTCTCAATCAACTCAATCAACCTACTTCTCTCTTCGTTGATCAAGATCATTCAGTCTATGTTTCGGATTGTGGAAATCATCGTGTAATGAAATGGATGACAGGTGCAAAGGAAGGAATTGTTGTTGCTGGTGGACAAGATGAAGGGAATAGTTTGACACAATTGTCTTATCCTGAAGGAGTGTTTGTCGATCATTGGGGTCATGTCTATGTAGCTGATTCTTACAATCATCGTCTAATACGTTGGGTGAAAGGATCTAAAGAAGGTCGAGTTATTGTTGGTGGAAATGGAAAAGGAGAACAACCAAATCAGTTCAATCTTCTCAGAGGTTTATCCATCGATTGTCAAGGTAATCTCTATGTCGTCGATAATTCAAATCATCGAGTACAAAAATTTGAAATTGATTTAAATTGAATAAATATTTGTGATAAAAAAGAATAATAATATTATTATTGGTGAAATTTTTTGTTTTATTGATTTGAATAAATTGAAGAAAAGGAAAATAATTTTGTTGATTAAAAATGATTTGTAAAATATTTAATCAAATAATTGAAATGAATCTATTGAGAGATTTTCATTTGATTTTGTGGAAATATTTTAAAAAAAGAGAATAAGGGAGAAACAGCAGACGTTTGTATTACTTTGAGCAACTTTTCTAATACTATAAGCAACTTTCAAGTATTTAGAACAACTCTTCAAGTACTTCCCATGTATTTTGAGCTACTTTAGGCTACTTAAACCTACTTAGAGCTACTTCAAGTCACTTGAAACTCTTCTGTTTCAAAGTATATCAATAAGAGATAGTGCAACAAATGTTCCTAAACCATTTATATTATCCACTGATGGTGTTGATAACAAATTTACAGCTATGAATGCTTTACGTTGATGGATTTACGGGTCGCGGACATTTCGTACCAGCCATTCCGAACACTCGGGCATGTGTCCGGGTATTCGGAAATGATTTTTTCCTTTAAAAAATTTTTGACGGGAGTTCGTAATCATTTTTGAACGGGACATCGTATTGAAAAAACAGAGAGATCGGGATGAAAATGACAGGGTGTTCGGAATGGCACTCCAAGAGTATTTTCCATAGAAAAAGGCCTGAAGATCGTAATGAAACTGACCGGGAATTCGTAAGGGTGTGGGTGTAGCAATAATAGAAATATTCACTGCTTGAATTCATCAAGGCATTCTTTGTGCACCATCTCAAAATGAAAAACTAGTGAAGCACTTAACATTTCTGAAAGAAGAGCAAACATGAACACAATTCGAACACCCCGTAGTTTTCATTACGATCTCTAGACATTCACTACACTTATTGGCCTAAACTTTCATTACGATCTTCCGGTTTTTATTATTACGATTTTCCAGTCATTTTCGTCCCGAACTCCAGTCAAAATTTCAGGATTTTATCTATATGAATCGATTGTCACTGTTCTTTACGATCTTCTGGACAACTTTCATTCCGAATACCCTGTTTTTTTATTTTTGATTGATTTTTATCATTTCGAACTCCCGTACATCTAATTCCGAATACCCTGTCGTTTTATCTTATGTCCGGAGATCGTAACAAATTTCGTCACCGGGAGATCGTAATGAAAAGTTGGTGCGAAATGTCCGTTTCCCGGATTTACCAGGTGGCCCAAAAGTTCGATGTGAAAAAACGTGAACTGATTTTATCATAAACTGAAAGGGCTATAAGGATGGAGATTTATTCTTAAGTAGATCTAATGGTCTTTAGCCTGTCCGAAAACGGATGGGTCTTTTGTGATATATTGAATTTTTGGAATATCTCGTTTTTCTGACCTTATTATAATTTATGCCTATGTTTTTTTTCAAACATCGAATATTCCAACAAAAGGATCATTTGTTTTGGCTGGAACTCTCAGAACATTCTAAAGATTATTCCGCTTATTTATAAATCAAACTTCATCGTGAAATTCTTTTCCTTTATAATTTCTATACAGAGTATTTCTAGAAACCTCCGTGGAAAAAACATTAATAGCTTTGGAATAATGTCTGTGATTTACATGATTTTTTGAAGTAATTCGATCGCATGTTATTACTTAAACTTTTATTTCATATTTAAAATAAAACTTCAAAGAGTATCCTATGAAATGATGAAAACCTAATTTTGAATCGTTTGAACCATTGAAGAATTATTCGAATTTTTTTCACGGTGGTGTCAAGCTAACTGACAGCGATGCATGTATATACGAGTGCCATGCATCTTGCGAGCAATTTCTTCTCGTCGTTACCTAATTTCAAATTAGACCAACAGCAATACGCATTTCAAATTAATGTACTAAAGCAGTGGACATGGTTTTTTTAATTAGGAATCAACTTCTTTTATTTTTTCACGATTCAGAAATCTACTATGACCAAATGGAGAAATCGTTTATTGTTAACAACGGCGAATTTGTGATTCGGGAATGATAAAATTAGTATAGAGCATATAGAAAATCTGATCAATGATAATAATTATACAAAACTATTCACTGTTTGACCAACAGCGACATTAACTCTTCCAAGACTATCAAAATTATCACTCATGCATTAACCCTTTCCGGCTGGATGTTGCCATTTGGCAACATTGCGCCAATATTTCGTGAGGATTTCAACTTTAGTGATGACAAAAAAAAACAGGCTTTGATAGAAGAAAAAAATTGACCTCTTCAAAATTTTTATATCCTTACGGCCGGGTGTTGTCAAATGGCAACTTCAAGTCATTCGATACTAAAGGTGGCTGCACTTTTAGTAGCTCCGAGATGAGAGAACTACAAATACGCTGAGAAAGATTTTTTTTTGCTAGCAGTCTTTTGATAGCCGGCTGAAAAGGGTTAAGTATCTTCACAATAGGACAGCCTGTTGGTTGCTTTCGAATAAAATAACGAAATTATCAACTGTTCGTTTATCTCGTGTCAAACAACAAACAGTTTATAATGATTAATAAACTTTTTCCTATTTGTGTACGTCTCATTAGTGATTTTTCTTTTGGAATGAGTAACTAAAGGGGGTGTGGGGTCTGGAGTGTGGGTGTGAACTTGGCTGAAGAGAAGACTCACACCCACCCCACACAACCCTTATGATTTCTTGTCATTTGTGTTCAAAGATAATTGATTTATATCAACTATTTGTTTATTTTTGAGCAATCGTATTAGAGAAAATAACAAATAAATATCAAAAAACAAGAAGAATATGAATTTATATGAGAAAATGTTGGATTTTCAATGGCAGTCAATTTTCATGTTGTGCATTTTGTTGTTGTTGATATAGGTACCAAGTTTGACTTGATTGATGGATGTTTGCTGTTGATGAATAGCTCGAATTTCGACAGATATCAAACATCGTGTGAAAGCATTGAAATCATCTATACGGGTGTGCCTAGATGCTTCGAATGAAATGATGTCAGACTTATAAAATAATCCAAATTTAATCCAAGAGAAGGTTAGATTCATCTTGTTGAAAGATAAATATTGACGAACTTTTGAAACATATTGTCCATCAATCCATATTTGATGATTGAACTGTCGATCAGTTTTGTTCAGAACAATATGAGTCCATCGGTCAGCGAGGGTGTGGTGGGTGTTGGTGTGGGGTTGGGTGTGGGTGTGGGTGGGTGTGGGTGTGGGTGGGTGTGTGGGTGTGGGTGTGGGGTGTGGGGTATGGGTGTGGGTGTGGGTGTGGGTGTGGGTGTCGCGGTGCAATAGTTGTGGATCAAGGATGTACCAACACCCACACCCACACCCACCCACAGCCGCAGCCACACCCCCCCCCCCCCCCCCCCCCACACACCCTTGCTTGTTCGTCTAATCAATTTGAACCTTTTAATTTGCACCAGTATAATTTTGAGATTGAATTCAAAATAAAACAACATAGACAATTATGCATAGCAATACAATGCTAAATAAATAGAAAACATCTTGTCAGTGAAGGATCCATGATTGACGAAAAAAAACAAAAAGTGAATTTTAATGATCATTTACACTTGTGGAAGCATAATGAATAATCTTTTCTTTCGAGAATTCTTTCGTATATGAAAAAACTATAATGCATGATGAATAATGTAAATTAAATATGTATAACTGTGGAGTTCTTGCAGTTATTTTTACTTAAGTTCGATGTAGCATGCGAATGCAAATTCACACCCTGTTCGCTTTTATTTCCCTATATTTAGGACGTAGTCTTCTTCAAGGATCAGACGTTATTGATCCTAATCATAATGACTTTTTATTTGATGCGGTAGGAGCACCATTGTTCTTCGACTTCTTATTATCAATTTAGATGTTCACATAGTCTGGTATTTATTCAGTTATCTATTTACTAATGATTGTATGAATGGAAAAATCGACTATTTAATTAAACCTTTGGTAGGTTTATCGTGAAGCTTATATGACAGTAAATTTGATTTGTACAAATGTTCACAAATCAGATTAATCAAAACATGGTAATTTTTCATTTTTATTGATCGATTTTACATCAATAATTTCTTATATTCTAGTAGACACGTTACCCAAATTTTAATTAATTAATGGTTCGTTCGGACTAATATGCAATGACAAATTTCACCGGTCCTTTTTCTTGATAAACAGAATTACGTTTCATTAAATAAGACCTTCGGAAGGATTTTTGTGCACTTCATTTGTATTTTTAAAAATGCTTTTTTTCTGTACCAATCTTGTTTGTCTTTAAATAATATGTAACATTTATAATAGTTGTTATTAGTTGTAAGTTCTATTATGATCGAATAAAAGTTCAAAACTATCATCTCTATGTTAAACGTAGTTTTCAATTACGGCTATAAATATAGGTAGTAGGATCTACTAAGAGGAGTGATATATTTAAGTATCGAAATACTGAAAAATACTCCAATATAGCGCGTAATATTGTTTTGTTGTCATGATATCGCGTTATAGCGGAAATAGCGGAGTGCTAAAAGGGATCAAAGTGCCATCACGATAGTGGCGTTATAGCGCCGCTACTGAACCGTTATCGATGACATGGATGATTATGAATAAATATCAAATTATTGAAGTTCAAACAGTATACATCACTGGATCATCAGAGATGTATCAGGCTCTTAGACTTGTTTCAATTGAATTAGTTTGCACTTTCATATTCAAAGAGATTTTTGAATAGTCGAGCAGACATTTTTCAAATCCAATGATTAAATTACTATTCTTATTCAAAACAGTCGACTAATCGTTGCTAAAGTTATTGATATTTATACGCATACCTTTAAGTCTCATAACTACGAATTCATTGCAGATATATATAGAATGAAATGAAGTATTTCTTCCGTGTGCATGCAATGCAAATATTCGTCTTGATCGATCTGATACAAGAGAAAAAGCCCGTCTACCATCAACAATATTCATGCTCTTCCCATCATCATTTATTATTTAATACATCAAATTTGTTACAACAACAAAATGGGATAAAATATAATGTCGAAAGAAATAAATGTTTCGAACATTAAATCGATTGTATTAAAATGCTTTCTGATTATTCTAATTTATCCATTTGCGCATCCAGCTTTCTACTTCTTCGTACCAAGCAAGTGAATGAAGTGGATTAAGTATCCAATGATTTTCCGTTGGAAAATAAACTAATCGACTTTCGATACCACGACGTTGTAAAGCATTAAAAGCACCTATTCCTTGTGTATCTGGTACACGATAATCATGAGCACCAAGAATAATTAGCATTGGCTGAGTCCAATTTGCAACATGATTCAATGGATTATAACGTTCATAAGCATCAGGATTTTCCCATGGAGTATAACCACCTGCATCATGTTCAGTAAAAAATAATTCTTCGGTCGAATAGCCCATAAATCTTGTATCAAATATTCCATTATGGGGAATGAGAGTTTTGAAACGACGACTCATTTCTGGTTGTCCAGCTATCCAATAGATCATATATCCACCGTAACTAGCACCTAATGCTACGGCTCGATCTGAATCAATATAAGGATATTTGTTCAGTGCATAAGTAAGGCCTAATTGAAGATCTTCGTAAGGTAATGAACCATATTCACTTATAATACTATCTGTAAAATTCTGTCCATATGAATCAGAACCATGAAAATTGATACCAATAACAGCATAACCTTGTGAAGCATATGTTTGAAAATTCCATCCAAAACCCCATGCTTCATCCCAACTACTTTGTGGGCCTCCGTGGATAAGAAATGCGAGGGGAGCTCGTTTTCCAGTTCCATTTGATGGTGGCATATGCCATCCCCAAACTTGATCACCTCGAGCACCTGCAAATGAAAATGCTTCAACTGCTGGACTCAGTCTCACTTTAGCTAATAGAGCTTTGTTATGATCAGTAAGAGATCGCATTGATCCATCCGATGAATAGAAATAAATATTGATTGGTTCAACAAAACTTTGATGAGTAAAAATAAACTCTTGATTATTCATTGGATGAACATTGATGTCACGCGATGTACCTTTACTGATTAGACGTATAAGGGGTTGATTGTTAGATAAATGATAAATGACATTTCGTGCTTCTTCAGGAAGTTCAAGAAAAAGTGATTGACCATCCGGAGACCATGTCACAACTTGAATGCTTCGATCCCAATTATCAAGGAGTGTTTGCTTTGTATTCGATCCTATAAATAAAACAACTTTCGAACTAGGACAAAAAAACAGTAATAATATAACTAACCATTGTAGAGCTTTATTTTATATTGGTCAGATTCATATCCTGGTTTTGATTGTGATCGATAAATCAAAATATTATTATCTGTTGGTGAATAAGATGGATCAGTATCAGTTGCCAAGTTCTCACATGTAATACATACACTCGCTTGTCCAGGTATACTCAAATCTATTGTATAAATATCAAGATTAGTTGTCCAAGCAACAGCACTTGTTTCATCATATTGACGAGTATATGCAAATGAATTTCCATTTGCACTAAATGACCATTGTGTTTTACCATCACCAAAAGGTTTTGTTGGTGAATCACTATCTATATTAAAAAGTACATCCACGGGTTCAGATGAAAATTTAAATATTCCATTTGATTGTCTTTCGATTGAAACAAGAAATGGATGATGACGTAGACCTGTCATATATTCATCCCAATGTCGAATAAATAATTTATCAAATTGATAAAATGTACGACCACTATTCTTTTCTGCTATTTGTCGAGCAAATGTTTCTTCAATTGATAAATTTGCATAAACTTGACAACTAAATGCAAGACGTGTTGCTTGTCTATTTACTAAAAGATTACCAATACTCAATGAATAATTTGTTATTTGAATTGGTTCAATGAATGTATTAGTTGTTTCTAGTAAGTTATCAGGAAGTGTAAGTTGAAATATTTGATTAAGACCTGATGAAGCTCGATTAGATAAAAAAAGAATAGCGTTAGAATTTATCCAATAGAACTAAAGATAAACATTAATATCAATACATATGAAATGATTCTATACTTACTTGGCTATCATGTTTTCCCCAAATAGGTTGTGTTAATTGAATATTTTTGTTTGTTTCTAAATCAAGCCAATGTAAAGTTGTTGTTGATCCACGTAAATCAGGCATATGATATTGTCTTCTTAAATAGATAATACTTTTTCCATTGATTGGATGAAATCGAGGAGATGAAAGACGATCCAAACGAAGATTATCTGTTTGAGAAAAGTCATGAACATCCGTTAATGATTGATAATAGTCACTATTTGACTGATAATCATCGGCATTTCGTGTTGTTACTGAAGATATCCCGTCTTCATGATTATGTTTAGAACGTTTTGTGACAATGACAAGAGTAGGTATGAGTATGACGACTACACCTAATAAAAGTGTAATCGATAAGAAAAGCTAAAAGATAGAACAATGAAGATAATAATAGAATAGGAAGTATCACTAAATTCAACCTTGTTGTTTTTTAATGCTTGTTGAAACATAAAGAATCTTCACCAAAAATAAAGAATCAAGCATAAATATCTTCGTTTTTATATAGTATTGATACACGTCTTATAAGTTTTATTATTGCAAAAATGTTAATACCTTGATATTTGTATTGAAATTAAGTGAAATAATAATGTTTTATTTTGCATTATGAAGGCTATTGCAAGCTGAAGAACGATATGAACACAAAAAAAAAATGATAATCTATAATAATTTGGCATGGGAGAATTATTTCTAATGTCGATTTCTTAATTAACGATCATCCTAATCAGGAATATGTGGTACTCTAAGACTTCTTAATGTCATAGTAGAGTTGATATTCGTGTAGATTAATTGCAACTTCTATGAGTATGTTATACAGAAGGATATCAAAAGACGAATTGAATCTTGTTAGGTCACATCAAACTTTTATCAAACCGACTATACAAAAAACAAGATCAGTTTAATTTCTGTTCGAATTTCATTTCGACTATTCAAGTTATTATTCCAATGTCTAGAATAATTGACTAAATGGTAGGGCACTACGAAAGTTTTTTCACCTGCCTCTCTTAAATGCTTTCACCAAGGACCAACTATATCGCTATAATGCCCAGAGATCTTTAGAATTATGTGAAAAATTTCAGACTTTGTTGTAGATCATCATTTCTTACAATTCCCATAGGGCGGTTTTGTTTTATGGTTGCACATTTTGCTCTGAAAATAGACAAAATTTTGAGTCATCAAATTTCGATGCTGCTAAAAAATAACACCTATGGGAAATTTCTTTGTTCTTGTTTCACGTAGATTGTACAGCTTTTCATGCTGCATCTTGCCACATATTTTGTTTTTATTTACGAAAACATATTCGATAGTAAAAAGAATAGTTATTGTACAGCTGCAATCTAGTTGGTAAAAAATTTGTTTGTTTTGAAAGCAAAATGTGCAACTGATATAAAATGCAGAGCTTTGGATGCTGCATCTGATCATGTAGTTTGTTTTTCTAACACAACTTATTAAACGATTGAAACTTCACTCTAAAAAATTAAGACACTTAGATAAGACAGTTCAAGTGTCTATTTTGCATTAATTTTGCTTGAGCGTCTAAAATCGGTTATCCGTTGACACGTGACGCGTCTTACTAAGACACACTATATGTCTAAAAAAAGACGCATCACCTGTCTCAATAAGAAGCGCCACGTGTCAACGGATAACCGATTTTAGACGCTCAAGCAAAATTAATGCAAAATAGACGCTTGAAGTGTCTTGTAAGACACATGGCATTTTTTAGAGTGTTATTACACAAAACACGACCATGTAATCTGTCTCATCGGTACAAAAGAAATAATAAACTTAGAAGTTTGAAATTTTGCACATAATCCTAAATAGTTCTGAGTATAGTTAGCTCTTGGTACAGTCTTTTAAGGGAGCCAGTGTGTATTCTATTTAATTGCTTAGTATGTATTGTTCACCTTTTTGATAAAAAACTTGACAAGTATTGATTTATTGAGTGTGAAGTTTTTCTTTTTACAGAGTGTTCCAAAAGTTCGCAGAAAAAGTTCATTCAAATATCTCTTATACAGCTCAAGCAATTTAATTGATTTTTTTAATAATATGTTAGTATGTTCTTTAAAGTTTTGTTTCGTATATTTTGAGATAAATGTCTATGCCTATAACTATTAGAATTAAAAAAGTTCTATTATTGACCAAATTTCAGTTATCCATCATTGTGAAAGGAAAAATACAAGTCGAGTTTGGCATAAAATGCCACACATAGACTGTACTATTGACACTTTTGCGAAATGAGAACATAGTAGAAAATAGGTAAGAATTTGAAAGACCTTCAAAAATTACAGAAGAGAAAATCGGCAAAGTTTATAATAATTGTGAAAATGTGCCACTATCGAGTGTTCGGATTATTGCAACAGCCTGCTTCATTCCATGAACAATAGCAGGACGAATTCTCACTGAATATCATCTAATGAATCTACACAGGGTGTCATTTCTTCTATAACCTCATAGAAAAGATTCATAAGATGGAGTTGAAATTATTACGCAAGTTATAAAATATCCACAATCAGAAGAGCTCTTTTTTTCAGACAAAATCTCTTTTCATTTGAATGGTTTATCGATAAATATAAAGTAAAGACCTGTGTGCATAAGATATTTGGTCGAATTCAGAATAAAAACCGACAATTCGAAAGTAAACTTCCTGCAATATTTTTTTAAAGATTTCGAAAGCGATGGGTTTATGTAGTTTACTTGTTGGTAATCATTTTGAACATTTTTTACAAACTAAATTATGTGAAATAAAACTTTAAAGAATATACTAATACATTATACAAAAAAATCAATTAAATTGCTTGAGTTGTATAAGAGATATTTGAATTAACTTTTCCTGCGGACTTTTGGGACACTCTGTAGTTTCATTTCTGTGAATCTACCTAATTATATTTAATCCATGATAATTGCGCACAATTATATCTTGTGTTTTATTTATCAATTCGATTCATGTTACTCCTTGCCTTAAGTTTTATTTCTTTATTCTTTTCAGATTATGTAAACAATATGTTTTCATACTTATATCCATTAACGAATGTTTCATATTCGGAAAAAGAATCTAATTTTTGTTGAAGGTGTGAGTGTGGCGTGTAGGTGTGGGTGTGGGTGTGGGTGGGTGTGAGTGTGGGTGTGGGTGTGGTTGTTCGTGTGGGTGTGGATCTGATCTTCACTCATACCTACACTCACACCTACACCCACACCCTCACCCACACTCCACACTCACCGACACCCACACCCAATGTATACCGGTTCGTTTTCTATTTTTATTCGCAAGAGATAAACATCTACAGTGTCCTTCAAGCTCAAAGAAAAATAAGAGAAACAAGAAACATCTACGACTTTCGTTTTCTATTTTAGCAAAAGATTTTTACTAACAGCACTGCGCAAATACAGATAACAGTTGTATCTCCCATTTCTCGTCATGTCTAATGTGTTCCTGTTCAGTGATATCTATCGGTATGTTTTGATACAGCACAATACTGATTTCGTTGACCTCGTTTGACTTTCGAGGATTCAATATCATTGAGAAGAATAAATGATGTGCTTCGTTTGAGAATCGAACCCGCTATACGATTACTGGTGATCGAGGGCCGTACACTGACTATAGAGCTATCAAAACATGACCAACACATCATTCATCTTCTGAATGATATTAAGTATGTGGAATTCAAAGTACCTAAACAGAGTCAGTGTTGTACTGTTTCATGTACTCCTTTCTCTCTCTTAATAAGTGTCCAGGTTGAATAAGCATGGTCGTATACGACCGTTTACAGCAGAATAGGTTGACTTAAATGGCTCATTATTACAATCATAAAAGAATCGTGTAAGGCCGTTTACGACCGTATACGAACTTGGGAAACTTCGGACTTGGTATCGGTCCAATGTATCGGTATATCCAAATAAATACTCTTAGAAACTCTAGAATTAATGTGAAACAGCATGCACTGGCCGATATAGATCTCCACAAGTCAATACACACTGATGATTAAGAACATATTAGACAATAAATAGAAGATGCTTGATAAACTTTTCAACTGTATTTGCACATCTTTGTTGACTAAGGATAATTCTTTACCTGCTCTTCGTGATAATTTTACTTATCGATCTTTCATTCCTCAATTTGTTCGCCTATAGTGAGATCTGTAAGGAACTTAAGGGTGTAAGGGTTCGCTGCATGCCTACTTATGGTTCGACACTACTGACTCGCTCAAGCACGAAGTTAACTTGAGTTTTATTGACAATTTTATTCAATATTTAAGATAAACTTCTAAATCTTCGTCTTCAAGGCACAGCAAAAACTGATGTGGACTTACAAAGCCCATCTTTGGATAAATAACGCAATTTCTTTTGGTTCTGTTGCACTTTCTATAATGGTTGTAAGCTTTTTACTATGTTGTGGATACTCCAAGTTACTATATGCGTTAGTTCAGCAAATGTTCGGTATTCAGTACATACCTTCAAACAACGAAGATCAATTGGATAGTATAGACTTGTTTGGAAGAATTTCTATACTTAAAACAAAGAGTTCATATAGATTACTATCTTATATAATTCTCTGTATCATGACTGGTGTTGTAATAGGAGTAACAGTTATCGTTTTCGTCGATGGTGTAATTTTAAATGTCATCTACCTTCCTACAAATCAAAAATGCCCAGATGATGGTGATATGGATTGTTATTCTACATCTGGCAATCATAGTCATTTCTTCTATAACTCATCTGACATTTTGATTCATGAGTCTTTAGGTACCGTCACTTGCTTCAAATGGTTCAAGAAAGACATCTCGACTCTTTTAATTCTTGAATATCTCAGAATATGCACTGGACTTTTTCAAATCTACACTTGGATCGTGCATTTGCTCATACGATTGATATCATATTAATGTACAACTCCATCTCGAAATAACTGCACATGGCGTGTACGTGTGTATTCGGTTGTTTGATTAACTGTTGTTCCACTCTTTGCATTAATAATTACTACTGCAATTCTCATTAGCCGCGAAGCTTCCGTTGCAGGATTGACTATGGCAGTATTGTTATGTTCGACAATCATTATGATTATGACGTGGCTATTGTTGTTTGTATTGACTATGAAGTTGATTAAAAGAGTAGAACAAGAATCTTCTACGAGTACGACGACGTCTAATCCTACTGAAAGAGTTGTTAGACCACAAGGTGTGGGTGTGGGTGTGGATGTGGGTGTGGGTGTGGGTGTGGAGTGTGGGTGTGGGTGTGGGTGTGGGTGTGGGTATGGGTGTGGATGGGTGTGGGGGTGGGGTGTGGAGTGTGGGTGGGCCGGTGTTGGTGTGTCCTTCCTTTCTGTTCATTCACACCCACACCTAGACCCATACCCAAGTGTTGTTGAGTTCCAAAGAAAAATAATTGGCTGCCTTTTATCATATAGAAAGTCAATCAAACTGTTCAAAATGCAGAATATCAAGATATAAGCCATTAAAAAGTGAACTTATACAGTCACTGATGAGGGTGTGAGTGTGGGTGTGGGTGTGGAGTATTGGATGTTTTTCTTTCTACATCCACACCCACACACCTACGCCCACATCCACACCCACCCCACACCCACACTCACCCACACTCCACACCTTACCTTGATTAATGTCAATTCTATCATTTATTTGAAGAAAAAATTGGATAAAGTTTCATCAAATAAGAAACTTATTTCTCTCGTTTGTTATTTCCATTGATTTTAGGTAAAATCAAAGTAACTATGGAAAATAAATCTCCTTATTTATATTTTCGAATGTATTTTAAAAATCATTTCCTTCACTCAAATCATTAAACCAATAAAAAGAATAATACGATAATTAGGTAAAATGTGCTATATACGAATTATATGAACGCTGAATCACTGAATTAACAATCATTTGAGCGTTAAATTGAAGAAAAATATCATCAGACTTCATCATCATATATTCGGCGACAATATTATCTCGCGTTGAACCTATGGTACGTAAACAACAATAAATAGGACCAAAAATAATGCATAGGCAGGAAATGTAACACAAAACACGAACTAGAGTCGAATTAGCAAAATGGCTCAATGTTGAAGATGAACGAGCAGCAATCTTATAATTGATTCTATTATAAGTCTAGAAAATAAATGGAAAACAAGTTTCATTACGATTTAGATATTACTTTTCTACTTACGACATTAATACTATTTTCATAGCCAGTTGAACGAACTAATGCAATAAGTTTTTTCTTCAACTCTTCTAAATTCCAGCCATGACATAGCTTTTTCAATACTATTTCTTTGATTTTCTTGTTAGAAAGTGTATATTGTTCAAGAGCATCTCTGAATGTAACGGTTTCACCACCTCTTCTTGCCTCTGCCGATGGAATAACAGCAACACGCCACCATTGTTCACAAATATAAGGTGATGGATCAATGGAAAAATCAAATTCAGTTACATCCCGAGACTTCGTTACACTACGAGTTTGTCAATTACCATCAGAGTCTTGATAACTTTCCGTTTTCGTATAAGTCTACAAACACAAAAGATACATACAGCAAACATTATGATAACATACATACAACCAAATAAATTACACCAAATTTCGATCCCTAGTGAAGGTACTCATAGGCGAGTACTCACGCTAGAAAATGTCACGAGTACTCATAGGTTTTGAGTACTCAACAGCCGTACTCATGCTAGAATCTGAGTATCTGAGTACGACGATCGAGTACTCGCTGTGTAATATTAAGTGTTCGGTGAGTACTCCTATCTAATTTCTGTGTACTCTGCTCGCCTAATGTAAAATACTCATAAGCATATCTTTTGGTTAGTACCGTTGTACTACATCAATTTTTATTTAATATTAGAATATTACAAAAACCACAACCGTACACAATGAAAATTTGAGTAAAATGGTCGAAATGAGAACCACAACTTTGACATTAGCTTCACATATTTTAGCGTAAAGAATATGGCCATAGCAATCTTCATCATGAGTGAAGAAAGTTAAATTTTTTCTTTGTTTTTCTACAATAAAAATACGATTTTATTGATCCTTTTCTTTCCTCTTTCAAAAAATAAATAAAATCGTATTTCATTATGTAAAAAAAAATAGAAAATAGTTAATTATTTTCTCTAATAATGAAAATTTCTTTAGCTATATCTTGAGTACAGAGTACAATAAAACACGAATTAAGGGCAGTAAAATACAGTGAAGGAGAAAAAAAAAAATTAATCACTGATAATGAGAAATGTGATAGTAAATAAACGTACAGTATTGCTAGTTATACAAAAAACTTAAACAGATATTTTTACATTCGTAACTATCTACATTTATGCGGGAATCTACAAAAAAATAAATACAGAATAAAATTGTTTGTCGGTAGTGTATTCATGCATCTTCTTGTTTTAAAATTTCGATCGATTTATAATAAAAGTCATTAGTCGTCTTCCTTTTCATAGCATTTGATAGTCAGTTTGAAAAACTATATTTTAACGGAAGATTTTTTATCTAAATTTACAAAATAAAATTAAAGCGAATCTACATTCATATGTTTAAAAAAATTCAATCTCACCTAAGTTAACAAATGAAAACGAAAAATCGTTTTTTCTCTTTCTGAACATCACCATTTATCTTAGTCGTATAGATGACTCATCAAAATGAATAGAGGATCGAGTAAATAAGTCAATAAAACAATTTTTCTCGGGCTTTCATTTTACTGCATCATTTTCTTTTATTATATAATTTCAATTTATTTTTTCTATATACTAGTGCATAAGTGTTTTATTAAACGGTCTGCGAAAAACGACTATGAGTACTACACTGAGTACTGATATATCTGCCTACGAGTAAATCTCTAAAGAAAAACTCGTACGAGTACTCATTAGAGTACACGAAGAGTATACATGCACATCAAATTCCTCGAGTACTCGTGCGAGTAATATGAGTACTCACGCTGGAAAGTCGTACTCGCTTGATGAGTATTTTCACTAGGGATATATATTTCTCCTTCTTCTTAATTCTATATTCTTATTCTTGCTTTGAGAATTTTCAGCTGGAATCACCCTATGTCATATTTTATGAGTACTCAGTAGGAGAAAAATATCAAGATTTAGTGAAATATTTATTCTGACGCATTTGTTGAAAGTAAAAATACTTCTGTATAATAACCATGAATGCTGACTTTTAATTGTGGTTTTTCATTGAGATATGTCATGAAATAAAGCAACAATTGATCAGGATTTTTTTGTCAACAAGTTGATCGAATGAAAGAACACCTTTTGCATTACGTTTTATTTCTGCTTTCGATGATTCTGTGTATGGAGTAACATCATTGGGGTATAAAATAGCTCCATTAGGGACAATTGATATATCAAAATAGTTTGGTGGGAGATCATCAATATCCGGTGCAAGTGGAGTAGAAAAAATATTATAAGTTTTCATTTCTAGATCGTTGTTCGGCAGTAACACAGATTTATTCGAGGTCGAAGTGGAATCTTTTAGAGCTATCCCTACTGGTGCACTTGGTGTTTAATAGTCTTCAGTAGTAAAATTATTTGAAGCAGTATTGTTGTTTGTCATATACACATCTTCTTTCTTTCCATTCGTCTGAAGTAAAAGCCTTATAACTATATAGATATAATATGATAATAATGCTAAAATTTGCACAAATATCTATGACACATGCTTGATTCACGCCCAAAGTGCTTCTTGTAGGAAGACAGAAGATAAATATGATATAGTCACTCTTAAATGACACAACAAAACACGTGTTGATAAGGCACATATCTTTAAAATGAAAAAAAATCTGATATCAGATCTCCTGAGAGCTTCTTGAGCTCATTCTACAAGGACCGAACTTATTCAAATCAATGATTGAAATTAGTTGGATTGGTTTACATCAGCTATATATATTATTTTTCATCATCAAGGTGTTTGTATCTTTTACAGATATCTTGTTTTTTTGTTGCAATAAGTACAACATCCAATAAACGGGTGATGAATATATTGGGGATGAGAGGTGTGAGGACGAGGGATGAGGATGAGTTTGTAGAGATCCAGTGTTCACGTGAATATCAAAGTGTTGTTTAAGAGATCTTCATCAGGTGTTGAAGCTTCTCTCGTGCCTTGGCTGAGACATTCTTCTGCGAATTTCAAAGGCAAGAATGAACGAATACGATGTTCGTAAATGGAGCCGATTGTCAATCGCCATGACCTGCTGTTGGTCTAGCTCGGAAAGAATTGTGTGGGTGTGGGTGTTGATGTGAGTGTTCACACAATTGATATCCACACCCACACCCACACCCACATCCACATCCACACACACCCACACCCACACTCACACGCACCCACACCCACACCCATACCCTAGCAGCTTCCATTTCGTCATCGTATTTTTAGGAAGACGTTGACTATGGCGGTACTAGTCATACATACATAAATGTATGTTTGCCTAACCATTGCCGGCTTTGTCCACTGTACGAGCCAATGGAATACGGAGGGTATCCCTGGTCGCGCGTGCGCGAATTTGTGCGACTGCTCGCTTCGGCGGGCTTCAACTTCAGAATGGTCAGTTTATTTTCTCTTTTCAAGATCAAGAAAAAAAATTATATTTTCTTTTTCACATATTCAATGTTTCTGTTTACTAGAGCAATATGTGGATGTGTTGGAGGAAGTGACTTCTTCCATATTTCTTGGGCCTTTTCGTAATATGAAAGTGCTTTTGAGTACTCGCGCATGTTATAATACACCAGACCGCTGTTGTTGTAGGATTGAGCCAAGTCGGGATGATTCGGAGGGAGAGCT